GTGAGGGGCGCCGGGGCAGCGGCCGGGCGGGCCGTGAGGGGCCGCGGGGCGCGACTCACCGCGTTCTCCTTCCCCCAGGAAAGAGAGGGCGAGCATCGACACCGAGATAAAGCGCTTCATCGCCAAGAAGGCGGATCTGCTGTTCGCGCACTCGTGGAAACCCAACGGGCCGATCGAGGACACCATCGAGGAGAATGAGGGTGTGTGAGTTGGGGGCGCGTCGCTTTATAAGTACCGCGCTTGAATTTACGGTGTCTTTAAAAGCAGGCTTCAAATTTTTCCTGTTGATTTTTATGGGCAATACATAAGTTTCCTGTTAACACAAAAAAAATCATTCACGTGTTTTGCTGTCGTCAAATATTTTGTGATCTCAGGGTGTAGCTTGGCCATTTGTAACTGGCTGTGCCCTTGTTGCAGAGTGTTACGCTGTCATGCCACCCTTGGAGAGGTTCTTGGAGGTGCCCAGGGAGGAGAGGAGAGAGCTGTTCTTCCGTGACATTGAGCGTGGCGATATCGTAATTGGGAGGATTACCTCTATCCGTGAATTTGGCTTTTTCATGGTGTTGATTTGTCTGGGAAGTGGTGTCATACGGGAAATTGCAGATTTGGAAATCACTGTAAGATACAGCTTTGGTCAATACTTCATTTTTGACATAATTTTGTTGCCTCTTGCATCTCTAATGGAGTGGAAGGTGTAAAGGTGAAACAGCTTTGGGATGATGGGTAGTGCTTGATTTTGTGGGCAGCTTGAAATACTTTGCTCAGCCAGTGAACATGTCTTGCTGTGACCCATATTACTGGCTTGAAAAGGTCATCATTTGTGGGCTTACTAATTTTTACTTGAACCAAGCCATGTTTTAAGAATTGCAGTTCTGATGTGCATTAAGTTTAAAATAATCTTTTTTGGCTTGGTCTTGGGGAAGAAAAAAATGTCAACCCTACGGCTTCATATATGACATTCCTGTTCTGTTCTGTTTCAGGCCCTGTGTCCTGTAAGGGATGTGCCTCCTCAAAGCAACCATGGAGATCCTCTGTCATATTATCAGACTGGTGATCTTATTCGAGGTGAGTAGCTGCAGAAGTTGTCAGGAATTAGTTTGTCTTGGGCTTGAGCCATTTCTGTAATTTTATCCTTTCCTGTATTGTTTCTGCAGCTGCGCTCAAGGACGTTGACCGCTACCACGAGAAGCTGGCGGTGTCGCTTTACAGCTCAGCTCTTCCACCCAACCTTTCCAGTACAAAACTGGGCGTGATCACCTCTGATGACTTCCCACTGCATTATAAGTAAGGATGTGCTGTTTGGCTGCATTTGCTGGGTGCAGTCAGGGTGTCTGAAGAGCATCTCTGACAGGCTGGCTGTCCCTTACACTCTTCAGTGGGCATTCTGATTTAATTGGGTGATCACATCCTCCTTGTTGTTCCTCTCTTTAGCATACTTGTGTCTGGATATGTAGGTGTGGTTGGCTTTTTAGCTTCTTTCCAAAAATAAAAGGAAAGCAAAAGGCAAGGTGAGATATCTATTGTTCCTTTTGGACTGTGTTAAAAATTAAAAAACCCTCAAAACCTTGGGGAACTGGAATATGAATTCTTAGCATTTTAAAATTCCCCTTAGAAAATGGGGACACAGCTGTCTGTAATATTTGTAATGTTTTTGCATGTCCTGGCAATAGAGAGTGGGTGCCCAGATGGGTTTCTCACTTGGGGAAAGGACAGAAGTGTTGGTAAATAGCAAGGAAATACATGTCTGTAGAAGAGGACAGTTTGTGAGCAGTAATACAGACACCATACAGGCATTTTTATTCTAAATATAAGCATGATGAAGTAGGGTACAGAGCCTGAGGTCTCATTTGTGTACATTGGTGCGGTTTTTAAGGCGAAGCCTGGAAGTTGCCAGCACAGGAGAGACATTCGAAGAGGTTTTGCATCGTTCCCCAGGATTCGCTAATCCATCATTAGTTGAATATTTAGCAGAAAAACTGGGACTAAGTGAGTCAAATCCACCGTCTTTGCTGAGAAGTCTTCAAATGTAAGTGATTTTTACATTGTTCCTCTCCTGTAGCTCTGTGGAGATTATTCTAATCCATTGAAATAGACTTGTGAGTGGGAGTCCTAGACCACTTAAACCTTTTACGTTTTCACTTGCATGACTGCAGCATACACGTCCTTAAATATTTAAAACCAAACTCCTCTAGAGTAAGAAATTTGCATTTGAAATCCAATTGCTCTGAATAAGCAAGACACCTTACCACACACAATGTTTGATATCAGTTACTTAAGGAATTTATTGTGTAGCTCCTGTCATCATCTGTGGATTGAAATGCAGGATGTTTAGGTTTTAATGTCTTCCTACAGATGTTTATTCACAGCATTTATTTTAGTAATAGGTTTGACCCCTTTTGTGATTGATGTTGTGACCTCTACGTATGTTAGGCCCAAGGCAGGTGTGGGCTTTGGATGCTTTCGTTAAATGTACTCCAGTTGTACTGGTTCCGTTCAGCACCTCTAGAACGGTTTGGGAAAAACTGGTTTCAGAAATATGAAAGAACAGACCTGACTAAGGGAGAGCAGTAAGGCATGAACAAATAATTTTTCAGCTTATTTCAACTGCACTGCATCCTGTAACCTTAACCTTGTAGACTCAGACAGCCAGCTTGATGTTTTTATTTGTTTGTTCCTTAAAGCAAAAATTTTAATGAAGAAGATTTTGCCCCTGCCTTGAGGAAAAAGCAGTCTGCATCTTGGGCCTTGAAATGGTATGTGATACTTTTTCTTATCAAAGCTTGTTGTTAGATTGGGTTACAGATTATATTTCTGCAGTTTTTCCTCTCTATGTGTAGCAATGTAACCAGGATCTTATTGAAAATAAACCTATATGCCAAGTGGGAATGTGACAGATAAAGTCCTGAGATTCAGTTCCAAAATCTGTGTCAGGTTTAAGGGAGTTGTTCTTAGAATATTTTTAATATCCTGACCCATTCTAGAGTTGAGAGCAAGATTTGTGATAACACCAAGCACACAATTTTCTGTTTTATAATTGAGTGTTGAATGACCTCATACTTGTCAAGTCATTTAAGCCTCAGACTGTAGATGTAACAAGTGCACTTGCTGTCTTTGCAAAGTTAAATGGAGCAGCAGCCCTGGATATTTACTTGTGCGTTTACACTATGCTTTGTATTTGCAATGTTGATTAATTGCAGAAAAGGTTGCTTATAATGTTAAATTAAATTTTAATTTTTAAGAAAAGTATGTAATGAATTGCTCTGAAAATCAACTTATATTGATTCTTTTCTAATAAGTTAATCTCTTGGAAAATGTGCAAGAAATGTTCAGGTAATATGAAATGTAAAACCTCAGGATATTTGTGTGAGATGAGCTGGTTTGAGTGTGTACCATCTGCCCATATCACCTTGTGCCATCACTCTAATGGGGATTTTTAGCTTTGGATATAATTAAGCTTGTTCAAGGTTAATGGTGGTAGGTCACACATAGTTTTGTGCAGGAAATTGTTTAAACAATAATTCCATAAATCAGAAACAATGTAATATAGTAGCACTGTCTGCAGAAATGTTCTTGAGTGCCTTAAGATACTGGATTAAAGACAATACATTTTTGTGTAATTAGGTCAATATCACCTAACTGAAGTGCCAGTGTGAAGTACACAATAACAAGGTCAAGTTTTAACCTGTCTCTTGTTTGGAATCGTAATTTGTGAGTAACAGAACAATCTGCATAGACTAACAGTACATACTATTTTCTAAATATTTTTTTCTCCAGTGTAAAGGCTGGGGTGGATTATTTTAAGGCTGGGCGACATGTGGAAGCCATGAATGAGTACAACAAGGCTTTGGAAATTGATCCACAAAATGTTGAAGCTTTGGTAGCACGTGGAGCTCTGTAAGTCTGCTTGTTTCATTTTTTTCTCCCTTTTGTGAAAGAGAAATATCATATGTTTCATATACAACTTTCTGTTGCTCTAGGTATGCAACTAAAGGAAGTCTGAACAAAGCCATAGGGGATTTTGAAACCGCTTTAGAAAATTGCCCTACCCATAGAAATGCAAGGAAATACCTGTGTCAGACCCTTGTGGAAAGAGGCGGGCAGTAAGTGTTGGGGTTATGAGTTTGGTTGGTTGTTAACAAGTGTTCTCATAATACATTTTTTTAATACCATTCTAGAGAGGATGCAGAATGGCATCTTTCCTTCCTGGCTATGTGTTTAAAGAAAAATAAAAGTCCTTGGAAATAGCCATCCTTGTGTAATTGTGGTTTAGACTTGGTCCTCTGTCCCAGTTAAAATCCTGGAAAAATATTTGAGGTTTAATCCTCAATATCCTTTTTAATCCTTGATACCCTTTCACTGGTAGGATATCAGGCTTGCATAAAGTCCTGTGAATTGTTTGAATATATTCCAAAAGGTTGAGGATTGTTTAGTTGTTTTTTTTTTTAAGTTTTGAAACAAAATTATGTTCTGTTACTCTGCTGAAATATTGGTGACCCACTCTAATGCAAAATAATTTTAGTTTTGAATATTCAGGGAATAGGTTTCTTTTAACCCATGTGTTAAGAAGAGAGAGGCAGTATTTTTGAAACTGGAATTGATATTTCAGAGAATAGTGTTACAGGTCAGAATTAGGAGATGATAAGGTGAGAAATACTATTTTGTGTTGTTAGTGAGGTGAGCTGAGATGACAGAGGGAGTCTCAGAGAGATGCAGGGGTAGTGTCATAATGCAAATAACAAATACTTTCAAATAAGAAATAGTTGTCAAAATCTGTGTCCTAACTGTATGTGAATTATCGCTTGAATTTTAGGTTGGAAGAGGAAGAGAAACTGCTTAATGCTGAAAGTTATTACAAAAAAGCTTTAAGTTTGGATGATACTTTTCAGGAAGCAGAAGAGGCCTTAACAAAACTCCGTAAGCACATGCAGGTGATTCTTTACTTTCTTTTCATATGGTGCTCTCGGTGACAATAAATAAACATCAAAAATCATAGTAAGTCCTTTGAATAGAGAGGGGTTAAATTGATGGTTTGTCTTATTCTCTGCTTCCCGACTCCACAGTAAATGTTTTCTAGTGAGCATTATGGCTGTACCTACCAGAAGAAAGGTACCCCTTGGTGACTCCACTGTTTTGGGATAGTAAAGAAATGCCAGACAGTGGAGACGGGGAAAGAGCAAAGCGGGGATAAGAATATCCCATCACACAGTGTGATTAAAAAGGTTAATTTAAAACATTCTGTGAATACAAATGTTCAAAGTGTAAAACACCCCAGCCATATAAACATTGTTACCATAGTCTGGCCAGACCCTTGGTCCTTGGGGTACTTAGAGAAAGAGAGTAACACCAGGCAAAGCTGAGGCACAGGGAGCTCACATGAGAGGGAAATGAAAATGTAATTGAAATGAAAACAGCAGGAGGTGGAGGGTGGGCGGGCAGACAGTTTGAATATCTCAGCTTTCTCCTCTGCTGTCTGGTGGTTTTTCTCTCTTCCCTTGCACGCAGCATGTTTCCCAGGTGAGCCTGCTGGGTCTCTGTGCTAATCTGAGTTGTCATCTTTTCCCTTTTATTTACCTCCTTTGCTTGTGTTGTCTTCCAGAGTGGGTCAAAAAGTAGAGCACTGAGGAACAGGCTTGTGTTGTTCTGTGCTTCTGCATGTGAGGATGTACACAGGCTGGGGTAGAGGGCCTTAGTCAGCAGTTCTTCAGTTGGTGGAGCCATAATGCTGACAGGATGTGTGGAATCAAGGGGGAAGAGGAGATAGGACAATCTGATAAAACTGAGCTACACCAGAGACAAAGAGGTGCACATTATTTGAGCAGTACCTGTGTTTGGCTGCTTTAGAAAGAGGTGTCAGTTAAAATGATGAAGAATATTCTCATCAAGTAGGAGATAAATGTTATTCCTTTGACATTCTCCTGTAGTCATTGATGCAGCAGATAAAGAATATGACAGCTGTTGTTCGTTGCTATGCATGGCCTTGGCTGCATTGAAGGCTTTTCTTTCTTATAGCTGTTAAGACAGTTGCTGAGTTTTGAAAATTAATCAGACTTCTGCTCAATCTCAATAGAGCAACTCTGTAGAGCTGTAAGTGGCAGAAGTCTGATCTCTTATGGACTTAAGTAGTTTAAGGATTATTTTTCTGCTTAGATGCTATCCTGCATTTACCTGTAACTTAGTACATAAGTCTGATATTGTCCCTTCTATGTAGAATGGCTGAAACAACTGCAGTGTGTTTTCCTGTAATACTGATTATGTGTTTTTCTCCAATGCATTTCCCTCTGAACGGAACTGTTGCTGCTGTGCCTGCTGTCTGGTGCTGCTCATCACCACCAAACCCCTGGAACTTGATTTCTTATGTAAACTATGCATCAAACTGCTCTGTGAAATTGTTACAAAACGGTTTGTATTCAAACATGGCCAACTTGAATTCATCTTCAACTGGGTTCTGCCATGTTTTTCTTGTAAACTACAATAATGATGACACGTTCCCTCAAACTCTCCTCTCTGTTTTGGTTGTTTGGGGATTTTTTCCTTATTTTTCTACATGTTGGTAATATTGGGGGATTTTTGCATATTCTATCTGTAACTTTTGGGCTCTATGCTTCCTGGTGTGCTGGATCATGGGTACCACTGCAATGACTGGTCAAATATATTTTTTAATGGAATAAAAACTGCAATATGGTCCTTAAATATAAACCTGTCACAATGGCCAATACCAAATTCCTGAACAATATTCATTTTTGGTCTGGGAATCCTGGTAAAACATTCCTGGTGTATACATTTGGATGGGGTTGAATGGGGGTTAATACCCATGTTAACACTACTAATGTAATCTTTTTTATGATGCTTGGGTTCAAAAAAGAAATCTTTGGAAATGAGGGAGAAACAAGCTGCCAAAGAAGAGAGACAGAAAGCAAAGAAAATAGAAACGAGTGCAGAAAAATTGCGTAAGCTCTTAAAAGAAGAAAAAAGGTAACTGTTACATTCAGTGTACTGGTTATGTGGCAATTAGTGCAGATGACACTGTGAGCAATCCATTTCAACAAACAGTAAGCTGGGGAGAACTTCTCCCTGGGTAAGCTGCTTTTCCCTCAGAATGTTTTTGTAGACAGTGTCCTTTAGTGCATACAACCTTTAATGGAGGTGTGTGTGGAAGAGAAGTTGTTTAAGGAATACTTTGCAATGTGACATATTTGCAAAGCGTAATGCCATGTGAAATTGGGAAAGAGGTCTTTCATAACAAAATGTTCAGTGGATTTAATCTTTTGATGAAGAAATGACATTTGAAGTTATCTTGCCAGTCAGGCTCAATTTCTGTTCCCACCTTACAGTCCAAGCTGGGGGATGCAGATTTGCTTTCTCTGTGTAGTTTTTGCCTGATACTGAAAGTCACCTCACAAGTTAATTATTTTTTTAGGTTAAAGAAGAAAAGGAAAGTATCGACTTCCTCCTCCTCTTCTTCTTCTTCTTCATCCTCCTCCTCCTCTTCCTCCTCCTCATCATCATCCAGCGATTCATCATCAGATGTATCAGCTTCTTCTTCCTCCTCTTCCTCTGATCACAAGAAACGTAGGAAAAAGCACCGGCATAGATCTGAGTCTGCTCGCAGCTCCAAAAAAAGCTCATCTAGAGCTTCTTCCCATTATAAAGATCAGAATAGGAAAGAGGAGTGGTATTCCCCTCCAGCTGATACCTCTGCTTCCTTTCTTAACCAAAGTTTTGAAGTGGAAAAACTGCTGGAAAGGCAGGACAGCGTAGCGTGCTCAAAAATGGAGGGAAAAGAGAAAGACAGACACTGTTCTTTTTCGAGGACTTCAGGTGATGATGAAGACACTTTTGGAGGTAGGTCTGAAGATTCAAGAGATTCTTACAGTAGCTCCAGAAGTCAGCCAAGTCATAGCAAAACTGAAAAATACAGTAAACCAGAGAGATTTTTCTCCAGTTGGAGGGGTCCTTCAGGTTCGTATCATAAATCAGATTATAAACCCAGGATGCATTATTACAGGAGATTTGAAAGGGATGGAGAGTGGAGAAGAGAGCAGTTTAAGAGACATGGCTCAGGTCAAGACAGGTATTACATGTCCCCAGGGTCTGACTATTCTGGCAGGTCAGGGGGGAGGTACAGGTCATATTCTAGCAGCTACTCCCATGAAGGTGACAAAGGTTATGATAGTGACAGGCAGCATAAAAATGAAAGTGAGTCTAACAGTAGAAAAAGAAGTTACGAGGAGGCTGATAAAACAAAGGAACCAGATGAAGAAGTGTCATTAAATGGTACAGAACAAGCAGAAAGTAGTAAAAGAAATCTGCCTCAGAACTTAGTTAACATATTCAATCAGATAGCTGAGTTTGAGAGGGAAAAAGGAACTAAGCAGAAGAAACAGTGAAGTACCTGAGAATACACTACTTGAATGAGTGTAGTTATGTGAACTTTTAACTTAGTATCTTGTGAGGAAATACATACAAAGAGTGAAAGGCAGAATTTTTTCTGCCTTTCAGAATGTCAAAGTATTCTAAAAGATCATATGTTGGAAAGAGATGGAAGAATATCTTACATAAAACATCAGTTATTATTTAAAATACAAGTTTCCTGTGCTCTTAATTTGAGGTGTTCCTGTACAATATTCTGTCTGATGGGCTGAAATCCCTTGACACCCCAGGGCATAGTTAGCTGTGCTCACATCAAATACGCACTTTAACAACAGCTGGGCTTGGTTTTCCTTGTCCCTGGGGTACTATTGACTCTTGATATTCTTCTATCAAACTTAACTTCCAGCTATAGAAAAGGGATAACAGAATGAGGTCATGTGCCATCAATGTATATAACCCATTTGATCATTAAATTTTCTTAATTTTTCTTAAATTTTTGTGTCTGGGTTTTTGTGAATGTTGCTGGGATGTTTCATCCTGGTGGACTGCTACATGTGCTGTCTACTCCATGGAACCCTGCTGTGTCTGTGAAGGCAAGTGTATTGTATGTACTCTAAGAGTAATACGCAAAAAAAAAGCCAAAAACCCAACTTGAAGTAGAAGAGCAAGTTTTGAAACACCATTTATTGTCTAGGTAAGCTCAAGTGTGAACCCTTGGTTTGAGCTTTGGTGGGGATTTGTTTTACAAGCAGCAGGAGGCAGCAGTTGTGTTGCTGAAGGAAATGATACATGGTTTACAAGGAGATCTGCGAAGGTGGGTGGCAGAACCACACAATGACAACTGTATTTCAGCTGCAAGTTTTCCAGGTAACTCCATGGATAGAAGTTACTTGCAAAAATTAAGAAATCTCAACTAGTGTGGCCTTCAAAAAATGACTTAAGACTTCTTGTGTTCAGAAATCCCAGAGATGCTGCCTCTGCTGGCTGGCTGTGAGCCAAGAGCTTCTGCTTCCTCAGGGGCAGGGATAGACAAGGTCAGCTCCACAATTTTGGCTGATGAAGCCTGACTAGAGGCTGAACTTTTCCTTCTGGGGAGTCTGAAAGACAAAAATTTACTAATTAGGATACAGAAACCCCTGCATCTAAAACAGAGCTGACAAGGGTGGCTCACAACAAAGCCACTCAGTAGCCATGGTCATTCCAGGTGAAATCCCCTAAAACACCTCTGTAGTCACCACCACTACATGGCTTCAGTAACACCTGGGAATGTTGGATTATAACTGGGTCAGCATGGCACAGGCTCTGAACATAGCTTGAACAGGGGAAGAAGGTACCAGTAAAAGCATCAATATCTTCTCTAATTAAGAAGGGGTGTTCACACTAACAGGTGTAAAATGTGGCTCAAAATTGTGCTTTTATAACATCAAACCACTTTTTATTTTTTTAGTTAGAGCAAGTAAACAAAAGTAAATATAATTATTCTGTAATTATTGGGTTTTCTAAACTGATGGATGCTGAAGTAGACTTCCTCATGTGCTAGAAAAATGTAGTAAAATTAAAGGACAGAGTAAGGAGAAAGTTTTTACAGAGTCTTCAGCAAAAAGACAATTGAGATGACCTACAAGAGTAAAGAATTCTTTCACTTAGGGACTAATTTTGCTGGTTTAAACTTGTTCTTAAAAAAAATCTCAAAGCAACCCAAGAGTGTTAGAACTTACCTGGTAGGAGGTCGTGAGCTCTGTGGGGTCTGAGTTTGACTACCATTGAGAGAATCAGCTGTAGGAAGCTCTAAATTGTACTAGAAAATTTGGAAAGAAAAAACAAGTTGACCTGATGGTTGGGATTAATAGGATAATAGGATTGGGATATCAGGAGCATTTATAGGGCTTGGCATTTGAAGAGATGTAGAAAGCAGGTGAACACTTTCCCGTTTTCCCATATTATGAGTTGTCCTTGAAAGACACTCAGTAATAGGCTGGAGGTCTCACTCAAGATTTTGGTGGCAGTTAACTGGAAAGCTCACCTTGTCAAAGTACATTTGAAAGGCTGCAGTTAAATCGGGATTTGCTTCTAGAACATCAACTATCACTTGGTTGACAATTCTGTTGAAGTCTTTCAGTTCACGAAGATGAATGTCTCTCTCTTCCAGTGTTTTTGTTCCACCTTCCCTCTGAGACTTAATTTCTCTGGACAGTTTGGAACACTTAACACAAATATTTTGAAAACATTACTCTTAGGAAAATACAACACTTTTTCAGAAACCTGCTAAGTTAAAACCAAGGAGTTTAACCCACAGGGCTTAACCCACACTACTGTCTATCACTATAAAGTTAGAAGTTCCCATCAATAAACACACAAACCTGTTGTATAACCCTCTCTAGTTTTGGCTTCTGGTCTTCAATGTCTTTCTTCAGCTGCAAAATAAGAGCTTGTTTTTCCTTCTTTTGCTCTTTGAAGAAGGCCTGGTCCTTCTGTATTACATCAAACTCTTGTTGCATGCTCTGCAAATTCATTTGAATAGTAATATTAGTTTATATAGGAGGTTTGATATCTGTTCACTTTTTGTTTTTGTGGAAGGGTCTGTTGTCATTACTATTTGTTTCTAAATGTGACTCAAGCAATTAGTGCTAATGTTAACTCGGAACTTTCTGCCTGTTTGGTGGATACAGACCTGGACAAAGAAATTTCCAGTTAATTTACATCTCTTTTAAAGGTACTGTTAATGAAGTTACAGGTATGTCTTTTCAGATGTGTCTCATAGTGGCTACAAACTATTTACTTGGCACCCTACCAACTTACCAGTGCAAAGTATCCTAAAAAAAAAACCCCAACATTGTTTCCTGTACGAAAAGAGGGATACCTTTGACTGGAATGAATAAAATAAGCTCCTTAAGGGCAGCTGGGTTTTTTTAATTAATTAATAAATAAATAATTAAATAACCAACTAACTAACTAACTAAATCTTTAAAAAATTTAAAGGCAGGAATGGGTTTGCTGTTACACCTCATTATATCCCAGGACTTACTCTCTGATGAAGACCTGTGTCCCTTTTCTTTACCTTAGGAAATAACATCTCTGAAGTAAGACCTGTATATGTCCTGTGATGGTAGAATAAGCAATAGGAATGATTCTTGACTGTAGGCAGTGACTCAGGGCTTAGAACAGTCATGTGGAATATCACCACGTGCCTAATAAAATTATAACTGAAATGTCACACATCAGAATTAAGTGTTGCACTTTCCAAGGTACAAGAGGCTTTTTGATAACCAAGGGAACCATGAGTGAGTCCTTGCTATGAAAACACAAGCTCTTTTTTGCCTGCATTTAGTCCTCAGCCTGCTAAGTTGCAAGTCAGCTATTTAATCCTGTTTAACTGAGGCACCCTCAGTTCTAATAAAACTGAATCTGTTCCAGAAAACTCCTGGGATGTAGCTGTCAGAGGTCCCAAGATACGTGGATTTTAACCTGCAGTGCTGGACAGGATGGTACAATAGTGGTGTGTGCTGCACATGAACACAGCTGCTTTAGTGGCTGCCAGAACAGCAGCTGTCAGTGCATGTGGGATTCTGAAACTTCTAACTGTGTCACTAAACACATGAAGTTTTGGTGTGATTTAGGAAAATTCAAATAATCACTCACTTTTTGAAAGGGGATATAGAGCCTTCTAAAAGTCGTATCTTAATAAAAGAACAGAAAAAAAATTGCACCAGAATTTCCTATTATTTATCTAGGATGACTTGCATGGATTTAGCTACATGCTGCAGTCTTATCTGACTGGAACATTACTTGTATTTTACCTGGAGGTTGTCCTGAAGTTCCTTGATCTGTCTTTGTTTGTATTTGTATTTTTCATCAGCATCCTTTTTGTCCTTTTCTAGTTTCAGTCTTTCCTCAAGTTCCTCACCTGTGATCCCAAACAATGAAGCAGCATTAATGCTGTGCATACAACTCAATTTTCACTTGAAAATAACTGCATCTCAGAATATTAATGCATTGGTGTTGGCAGTACACGAAGGTTTGAGGAGAATTTAAATACTCTCCTACTAACTCCAAATCACTATGAAAAAGTAGCTGACTGCATGAGGGAGAATGATTTAAGAGCTACTGGTTCCAGAGCCAGCAGAGGGCACAAAAGTTAAATAATAAGTATTATTTAGAATTAAGTTCTATTTACTATCTAATTTCTATTTCACATACTTGTCTCAGGGACTGCCTTGAGAGAATTTTTGTAATGTCTATTCCAGTTTTTAAGTACACACAAACTGTTTTCCATAGCGATGATTTCTTTCTGAGCTTTGCAGATCTTCGCATCCAAATCATCACCTTCTTGTTGAAGTGCTTCCTTTTCCTGTGCAGCCTGAAAGCAAACCAAGTATTTTAGGTGACTGTAGACATATTGAAAATATTAAGATAATTATTCAGAAAATATTTATTATACAGCAATATTTCAGGGTTAAAACCACTTGAACTGAGATTTGGGTGCCTAGGGAACTGGAAGGAGGAGTTATTTACAGTATTGAAATTCTCTGAGGTGTTTCAGCCATGTGCATTTGATTCTGGGTACCTCTGCCTCTCTGCCTCAGCTCACTGAGTTCAGCCCAGAAGCATCTACACCTTGCACAGAGCAGTGTCTATGCCCCACACTGCTGATGTGAACTACAGCACGTGTTTCACCTCTGCTTCCTTCACCCATAAAATCCAAGATTTCAGATTGTACCATCATATAACCACTGAGAGACTGATAGAAGCCATCCAATTTGGGAATTAGTCACTTGTAACTTCTCATTGATCTGACCAGTAGATATAAGAAACAGCCAACAGGTGAAGTACTTTTTATAGCCCCCTGGAAAGTCTGTTACACTGAAAAATCTCCATAGGTGTAGAGGGTATTTTATATAGCCACAGTGACCACGTGGCTTCTGCAGAGGGTCTTCTGCTCTCCTGGATCTCACAGCAGCACCAATACCATTATTAAGAAATTTAACATTTAAGAGTAAGAAAAAGGTGAAGTTCAGAACTAAGCACACAGCTGGAAGTGTGTTGATTTAACAGGAAATTGGAGAGTTTGTGGAGATCAAAATAAACAAATTCTTGTTCAAGAATCAGGCTATTGCACAAAGACTGA